ACCCTACGGAGCAGGGGTGCTGGGTTTCGGAATGACAAGGCCGCCAAGGGCCCCCCACATGCTCCACGTGTGCATCCACACTGAGATGAGACCCACTGCATGCTGTCTGTGATGTTGGACCCGGGAACCCAGATGCGAGCAAAGCAGATGGCACGGTGCCCCGAGGGGCTCCCCCCAGCTGAGAGCACAACCTCATACAGATGCCCGGATGCAGGGGTCCCAGCCTGCCTGTCCGTCACATGGGGGCCAGCAGGGAGACGGGACAGTGCGGGGTGGGGTGGGCTGCCCCTCAGAACAAGGGAATAATGAGGAAATGACAGCCAGCCATGGGGCCCGAGGGGCAGGTGGGGAGAGGGGCCGCTCCCTCCTTGCCGAGGGCGAGCAGGCAGCACCCTGGGGCTCCCGGGTGGCATTTCTCAGCCCCGGTGTCCTTCCTTGTCCACGCTACTGCTGTCACTGCGGGGCCCTCCCCCAGGCAGGCCCCTGGGTCCTCCAAGCAGCTCACTGCACAAGACCACCCTGCCTTTCTCTCACCTGTGTCACCTGGAGGTCTCCAGCCCAGCCAGGAGCTGGGTCCAAAGCAGGGGTCACCCAAGTCGGCAGGACGAAGCACGAGGAGTAGCCACCCACTCCGTCCAGCTAGGAGCTGGCCAGGCCACACTCGACCCCTGGGGGTGCTGCGTCTGGGTGAGAGCCAAGAGTCACGGGGGCATTGGTGGTGGGCACCGGGCACGCCCAGCCCTGGGCTCCACATGGGCTGCGTGCAGTGACCAGAGCCTGCCGTGGATCAACGGGGTTTGCTGGGGGCACAGCACAGGAGGCCAGTGGGGATCGCCTGGGCACCTCCTCCCCAGACGCTGGGACCCCTCCCCATGCGGAGCAAAACCCTACCGGGGGCAGTGCCCCAGCGCCACCTCCCTGGAAAGTTTCAGCTGCACATTTGGACTTCCGTCAGCTAATTACCCAAAAAATTACATACTGCACAGAGAATGAAGTAAAAATAAACAGGGTAAGTAGACAAATGCAACAGGAGGAAAAATGTTGGCATGGAGAGAACAGGCCTCTTGTGACAACAGTGGATAAAGCCTCGAAGACGTGATCACGGGCAACCACGCTGAGCACCTGAGCTGGTCCGCAGGCCATGATAAAGACGCTGGGACTCACAGGCCGTCCGACGCTGTGATTTGCAGCTGGGAGGCCTCTGTCCCTCTGTCCCGGCCGCTCTTTTAAGCTCTGCCGGTGGACATGGAGCTGTTCCTCACTGCCGCCCAGCCTGACTCCAGACCCCTTTGGCTATGTCAGTGGGCAGCAGAGACCTGTCCCCTACTTTCCTGGATACCGCGAGCCCCAGTTGCTAATAAAGCAGACAACCAGCCATGCGACTCCCCACCGAAGGCCAGTGTTTCAGCACCAGCCCCCAAGCTGTGAGAGAAGCCTGCCCGGGCACATGGAGGCTCCTGAACCTAGACCCCCACGTCTATGGGGATGGCCGGGAGGGGCCACAGCGTGGGGACTGGCAGGGTCTGGATGACCTAGAGCACCCCTCACCCAGGCAGGGTGTAACCAGGAGCCGTCAGCCTGGCACCATCACCCCCAGGGGCCACAATGTTGGGCCATACCCTACGGAGCAGGGGTGCTGGATTTCGGAATGACAAGGCCGCCAAGGGCCCCCCACATGCTCCACGTGTGCATCCACACTGAGATGAGACCCAGAGCAGGTGCCTGGGACGGCAGGTCAGCGTCCTGGGGCAGCCGTGGGAGGAACCACAGACACTTCACTCTCCCACCTTGGGAGTGTCCCCCACTGCGGCGCTTACTGAGCTAAACGGCTCGGGTTGCTAAGGGAGCCTTGTCTGTGAGGGCATGCGGGTGTGCGGGGGGCTCTGCAGGGCCAGGCTGTGGACAGACACGCTCACGCCCGCAGCCTGCCTCAGGGCCCTGCTGGTGGTCGAGCCAGCCCTGACTGTCCCCCGGAGCCCAGGACAGCGACAGTCAGGGACGAATCAACAGGGCTGGGGACAGGTCTGGGAGCCACCAGCCAGGACATCAGGAGCCCTGCAGGCGGTTCCATCAGATCAGGGCCCTGGAGGGCGTGCCAGCAGGGAGAGGACCAGGACTGAGGCTGCACCCAGAAGCCGTGTCCCAGCTCCATCACCGGCGACCACAGCCACTGCGGAACCCCAGGCCTCTGCTTCACAGGCCGTGGGCTGGAGCCCAGCCGGGCACGGCACCTGCCCCCAGGGGAAGGGGCTGGGGACACCCACCTCGGCCCCACAGGTAAGAGCCTGGTGTCGGCCCCCTCACTGTGATGGTCCGCTGAGGCGCCGGCTCTGGGCTGGCCTGGCATCAGGTGCTGCCCCAAGACCCCAGCAACTCCCTACCAGCTGAGCACCCTTTGCTCCCCTCTCCCTACAGACTTCACAGAAACTGCTCCCTGAGGTTTCACCACCCACCCGGGGCCATGATTTGGGGCCCCGGGACTCGGGAGGGTTGCCGCAGGAAACACCTGTGGATCAGGACTCGCAGGTGTGTGCTCGGACCCTGGGGGTCTCCTCGGTGTCCAGGGCCCTGGGCCGGTGTGGACGGGAGCCTCCCCCGCAGAGCTGGAGTCATGGCTTGTCAACTCTCACGTGCACCCCGAGGCAGCCCAGGCTGGGGGCAGGACACCGGCCCCCCAAGAGTTCCAGCACAGTCCCCAAAGGAGGCCTGCCACCACCCAGACCCGAGCCCAGTCACTGGAAGGACCACGAGCGAGTCCTAAAAGCAAGTTGTGCCAAACTCTTTCTCAGGTTCACCGTGCTATTCTACGTAAAATCATTTTAAATTGAGATTTACGGTCGAAGGCCTTGTAACCTGCTGGTCCAGTGACTGAAGCCCCTTCCTTCTGTGGGAGTCCAGAATCCCAGGCCCCGAGGTCCAGCCTGACCTGGTCCTGCTGCTCCTGCAGGGCGTCTGCCAGGTGCGGCCACACCAATGACAGTGACTGACTGCTGGGAGCCCCACTGGGGACCAAAGCTCTCCATCAGCCCGGGGGGGGAAACAGGGGCCCTCGCTCCTCAGGAGGGGCTCGCTGGCCTGGAGAGGGCCTCAGACGGCTGTCCTTAAGCTGTCCCCAGCCCTTGGAGGGACACCAGCCAGGGACTGGAGCCAGAGACTCGGGTCAGGAGCAGAGCGGCCAGCACCCAATCCCACCTCCTGGCATTCTGTGCTGCTGCCTCGCCCCGCGCTGGCGTCCTGAACGTCATGGACACGGAGGATGCAGCCGCCACACTCTGAGCTCGACGCTGACACTCCTGGAGTCAGTCCTGGGCTGGCCCCCACTGGGCTGGATCCCGGCCACAGGGCAAACCCTCCCTCGGGACAGCCCCGGGACAGAAACAGAAGGACCAGTGGGGACAGGAAAGATCTCCAGTCCCAGGGACCTGGTGGTGACAGGAACACGGCAGCTCAGGCAGAACCTGCGTGGGGCAACATGGGGCTCAAGGCCAAGACCCAAAGATGCTGGGCGCCCCCGATCTGTGAGTTGACCTCCAGGGTCTGTGTCAAGTAAGGGCGTGGAGACGCCAATAAGCAGCATGTCACAGCGGGTCACAGCAGGTCCTGGTGGGTCACGGTGGGTCACAGGGACAAACCAGAGAGCATGGAGTGCCTAGCACCTCGGGGTCGTGCTGTCTGGCACTGCCCACCAT